TCGAAAGCAAATCTCGGTGTTCTCCAGTGGCTTCGCGATCCCTTTGTAATAATCTGTTCCTACCTCACCCGTTGATGATGTGGCAGTCTTTGCTGCCTCGATCTTCCTTGTCGTCGAAATAAATCATGTATAATCTTTCCTCACCTCTCCCGTTGATGATGTGGCCTCGAAATAGGTCACGTCATTCCCCGTAGCTGCGTGCTCCGTACTGTCTCGATTTTCCTTGTCATCGAAAAAGATCACATATAATCTTTCCCCACCTCTCCCATTGATGATATGGCAGTCCTCACTCCCCTGTCATCGAACATGTTATACCCCCGTAGCTTCGTGCGCCCTCTTTTAATGGTCTATCCACACCCCCACCTTCTTCTCCTCTTCGACCACGCCTCATGCAAACTACGCCTCCCCTTGTGAATAGTAGTGAGAGGCAGGGACAATCAGCGCAATCCAAGTCGGCCCCCTCCACCTCACCCTCTCCCCATCTACTCTTTGTGCGACGTTTCCCCTCCCCTTCGTCTGAGTTCCCTCCTTTCGTCTGTCCTCGAAGCTCTCACCCTAGCAACTAGAATCTTTGCTACACCAAATTGCACTTATGCTTCAACACTCCGTGTTGCCTCTGTTGACCTTTTTGCACGCAGTTCGATCAACATCATCAAGCCCTCTCCGCTGCCCTCCACCGGTGGCAGGGAAAACTCCCCGACACCGCCGCCTTTCTGTCGTCCTAGCTACGACGACAGCTATGGAGGCTATCGTGGAAGTCAGAAGAAGTACTCAGTACAGTGGCCGATGACCAACTCCTCCTCGCAGATCTCCTGACTCAGCTATGGTGTCACGTAAACCCATGACGCATCGTTAGCTAGCGCTCGACTAACCTTCGTGCGCGCCTCTGGACATCGCTTTATGGTAGGAGCACTGGGTGCTAAGTACATTCAATTTTGAAGATACATCAAGGCAGCTGAAATAGGGCCTTAGTCCACCATACAACTTTCTACATCCATTTTGATGCTCTCTGAACCGGACACATTCAAAATGTTTGACTCGCCCATGGTCCAGAAAGCGTCCAAATGCATGTACTTTTGTGCACTCGAGCTATACCCACAGTCTGAAGCACCTACATCATCCAGTTGATGTAGCTCAGTGGTTAGAGCACCGGTTGGGAATGCGCATTGTGGTATGAGGTTGCGAGTTCAAAACTCAATTGCAGCCTTGCACATGAACTCCGGCAGGGAGTTAGAATGACGCACGACTGGACACACACGGTAAGCTTATACAGACACTGCTCGTGCACCACCCAAGGGTTGTCCATGCTGTTGTATGTCGCGTCTTGATACTGTGTGTGTTGCTTGTGGCTGTTGCTCGTGGTTGTTCTGTTGATCTCCCCAGTCTGGCATATCACACACAGAGGGGGCGTTTGCGATTGGTGCTCAAATGGTAGAGTCTTTAGATCGCATGTCATAGATCACGGGTCGAGTCTGGCTTGGGACTTTGAAGGGGTTTCTTGGCCAGCTTGGCCTGTCATCTCTTCAAACGAACACATAGTTCCCTCTACATAGTACTGCACATATCCGGCCTTTGGGCACATACATCTCGCTATACAATTACACATAGCACACATAGCCTTCGGGCAGACACAAAAAACCTGGCCCTATGTGCTCATACAAACATACATAGCCTCTGGGCACACACACATACACACAACTAAGGTACTTGGTTGGGGGAGTCTATCAGGTACATGACGGGGTCTACTCACGCATGGCTTAGCTCTAGGGTAGGGTAGGGATATAAGTCGCTCCGGCTAGTCAGAGTTCCGCCTAGCCTTGGGTAAGCTAGGGGAAGGACAGTAGAATGTGTCCACGGGCGCTGGCCTGCCTTGCTTAGGTAATCCTATTGGGTAGACTCTCACCCTGGGCTTAAAAAAAAAAAAAAAAAAAAAAAAAAAACCACCTACATCCTACGACATTCTGCGTTATTGCACAATAACCTCATTTTTCTTTTTCTTTTATAAGTGCACAATTTCCAATGCCCTTGAGTGTGGCTCCGCCCTGATAAGGCCATACTCACACTAACACTTTTCTCAATGTATCTGATTGTAATTACAACTATACCTGGATGCATCTGACCATAAGCATGACCAGAGAGCATGTCGACATGTCCTCGGTTGAGTGAGTACGCCCTACTAATGGCAAACGACAATGTCACATCTTATCTAGGTTCTTTATTTCTTACCATACGTTATTAATAAACCCTCTTCCTTTCACCCTTCTCCGCTCGTCACATGCCCTGCCCGCATCCTCTTCCATCGTGCCTCTTCGCTCGCTCCTACTCCCCATCGCCCTTCCCAGCCAAGCGCCGCATCCTCTTCCTCCGCGTCTCTCCGCTTTCTGATGCTCCCCGTCGTCATGCGCTGTCTGCGCCTGCCCGCTCCTCTGTAGTCCGATGGTGAGATCGGCGGGGCGCGGCGCTCCCGGTCGCCCGTTTGTTTGTTTGTTATTATGGTCGGTGTATTAATCGCTTTCGTGGATTAAACCGACGTGCAAAATTCGTTGTCGGAGTCGTCATCAGCTGCAGTGTTCCAAGGCACTCGTGAGGGTTCTCTTCTTGATGATATGCGAATAGGGCGGAATTTCGAAAGGGGCAACGGATTGGTGTTGGGATGAGGTCGTCTCTCCTCTTTTCTTCAACGGGGTGGTAAGTGGATATGAACGGATGCTTGAACCCCTTGTGGCGCCTTGCTAATGGGTTTGGTGAGGTGGAGCCACACTTTTTTCGGGTTTTCTTTTGGAAATCGAAAGATGGTCATCAAAGTTTTCGGTGCTAGTATTGCTCAGAGCCTAGGTGCTAGTAATGGGAGGTGGTTCTCCTCCCACGAAGATGTTGGGGTAGGGTTTGAGGGAGCTGTGGTAAGTTGGGGGTTGTTGAAGAAAAAAGGAGAGGGATTATTTGGTGGATTGTTGCTCTTATCGTTACGTCCTGGATTAGTTTGGACGTCATACTTAGGGTCGTCTTGTCTGGGTTGATGCTAATACTGATTACGTTCGATAGGTTTCTCTCTTTCTCACGCTCTGAAAAGTAATTTTGTAATATTTCCTTAGTGTTGAAATTTTCTATGATTGCTCTAGGTTTCGATTATAAATCTCGTCGGATAAATCAATTGGGAATTTTCATAATATTGGTTGAAAACCCTAATTAGGGCAGCTGATGGTATATCCCAATGATAATTTGTATGTTTGCTGTAAAGTTTGATTGTCGATCTGTTTCTTCTGCTTTGTAATTCCTGATTTACGGTCCTGATTTACTCTCTGAGCATCTTCATGATTTACGGTCTGAGCGATTTTCTGAACCTCGGGTCCGGTAAACCAGAGTCGAAAGTCCGGTTGGACATCAGAATCGGTTCTCTATTCTGTTTATGTACTTGGATTTTCTAAGTCATGAAATCGTATATTCGGTCTAAGCGATTTTCCTTTTCCTGATCTTATCTGTACCTCGATGGAATTTCTGACTTTGATGCCAATTAATTTTTGCTTAGTAATTAGTCTTAGCGATTTTTCTATTTTCCGATTCTTATCTGTATAACGATGGATTTTCTGATTTTGATGCTATTTAGTTTTCTTAGTAATTGGGCTCAGGTTTTTGTTGACATCTTTTGAATCTCTAGTCTTAGTCTGTTTTGGGGGGTATGGAAATTTTGAGGCTCAACATGAGCATTGTAGGGCTTGGGTTCACAAGTATTGATCAGTGTTATTTCCTCAGGATTGGAGCTCCTCCCTGCGAGGGCTACACAAGGTGGGAGGTGTTTTCCTTGAGAGGGTAGGGGGGGTATTGTGGGATTGTCCTTTTCTGGGCCGTGCTGATTTTCGGGTCGGATCAGTATGGCAGTTTGGGAGAGTGGACAAGGGTTGCTGAAGTTAGCAAGATGAGAGGTAGAGAGGGCTGTTTCACTGGGAGGGGGTGGGACAGGAGGAAAGGGGGAACTCCAACTCTGCGGGGGCATACTCTAGGGGGAATTGTATGCTGCTGAGGGAGCGGGAATTATTGTTTAGGGGGTTGTTCTGAACTGGGGCGGTGTGGTGAGGGGGCACCCTCCGGCGGAGGCAGTGCAAGGACAGAGGGATGTTTCTGAGGGAGGAGAAATCTCGGGAATTTTTTGTGAGTTCTTCATGAACAGTTGAGGTTCGAATGGACACCGGAACCGCCACAAGATGAGGGATGATCTTTCCCTCCCTCCCTCTCGTTTCGTGGGGGTAGAAGGGGGTTTCTCTGCTTTTGTCTGAGTCAAATTTTTCTGAAGGAGGGTAGGGGGGGGGTTAGAACCGGAGGATGGGATCTAGTCAGGAGACTCTCAATAGCGGAATACCTGTTAGGCAAGTAGGTCAGAAGAACGAAGCTGGGACGACGCAGGCCGGTGCTGGAGCTTTTGCTCTATGACCTAAGGGGGGCTTGAGGCTTGTGGAGTTATGCTGAGGGTGGAAGGCATAACCTAGCATGAAGGCAGAACTAGGTTGGTCAGTACTGGGGAAGGTTGCAGTGCCTTGTTACCCTAGCATGAAGGGGGTATGAGATCAAGTGAGTTCTGGTATGTGGACTGAGAGCCTGAACAAACTTTCCGTTTGTTGAAGGGGGAATTTTGGATAGTAGGTTGTTTCAGTTTTGTCCCCCCGCTCATATAGTTTTCCAAGCCTTTCTAGATATTTTCAAAAACAAAAAGACTTTGTAACTATGGATTGAGTAACCTAGCAATAGGGCGGTAGGTCTATTGCCTACCGACCTATCGGTAGGTCGAAAATAGATACCACGGAACCAGAGGGGAGGGAGCGCTAACCTGCGCCGCGGACCGGTCGGCTGGGCCCGGCCATACTCCGCGGACTAGGGCAATGGTGGTCAACTCCATCATTGCGCTTGGTCGTCCTGGTGTCCGCTTGGTGCTTCTGCCCGGGCGTAGATGGTTTTTCCACGTGGCATCTCAGGAGACGGCACGTCGGCGTGAGGGATGAAAGTTTAGATCGAAGAGGCAGCTCGTTCGTTTTGGGCGAACAGGTACAACAATTACATCAAGAATAACGACAACAACAACATCTTACATCAACGACAGTGGTAGTGATGGAGGCGGCGATCAGGCACGACGTGGGGCTGCAGCATCCTATGTGGAGTACGGAAGTTGTTGTTGCCTCGCCCGAGGAGGAGGAAGCAGCGCTGGAGTTGGTGAGAATGTATAAATGCCAGGTGGAAGACATTCATGTAGTGCTGACTCAACATCGCCATAATCTGCCAGTGGAGTTTTTGGTGGAGGGTGAGGAAATGTTCATCGGGTGGGAGGAGGAGCTCCATGCAAATCTCTCCCTCCAACAGTTCGGTGGCACTAAAAGAGCAAAAGTGATGGGTGGGCTGCGTGATTGCACCGAAATGCTCGGGAAAGTGAGAGAAATCTTTGTTGAGCTTCGGGCAGGGCTGCCCCCCCATCTGCACGTGAATACACGAATGGATGATTCGAAACGGAGCTGCTGCGTGGACTTTGAGGAGGGGCAAGCCACGTTGCAGGACCGCTACTGTGAAGATGACGGGGGCATCACAAAAGATGTGAACAATAACAGCCTCATTGCCTGCAGTTCTGCCACTTCCACCGATAAAGATGATATAATTGCCAACAAGAATAGTGATGACGACAACAACAATAACAACCACAACAACAACAACAACAACGACAATCACAACAGCGATGCTGGTGTTCCATGTGGAGATGACGATGACAACAATTCCGACAACAATATCGACGATGACAACAACAACAACATCAACAACAACGACAATTACAACAGCGAGGATGGTGCTCAAAGTGGTGTTCCACGTGGAGATGACGATGATAACAATACCGACAACAACATCGATGACAACAACACAACAACAACAACAACAATAACGACAATTACAACAACAACAACGACAATTACAACAGCGACGATGGTGCTCAGCGTGGAGACGAAGGTGAAACATGTATTTGGACCATCAATAATAACAAGGCCAAAAACGACGGGGAGGAGAGTGCTCAGCGCGGGGACGATTGTCATAAATGCGTCTGGGCCATCCAAGTCGTCAACACAGTTAATGATGATAATATTGCGGGCCCGGTAGATAATGACTACAACAGCGGGCGTAGGGGGCAGGGCTGTTCCTCAAGCGTCTTGCCTCTCCCGGTGGGGGTGGTGCTATTGGGGATGGAGCGAAGATGTTGTCTACGGCTATGTCTATAAGTAGATGTCTGTTCGGCCGATATGTCATCGCGCTGCTTCTGTGGGATCCGGGGGGGAGGATAGAGGGGTGCGACTAGGGTATATGGCACCCCGATGACCAGTCAAGGATCCTTCTCATTTGTGCGCCTGAAACTCTACATCTGTCTTGGGGACACGTGGCACCCCGACATGAGTTTTGTTGTTTTCCGTTTAACCTTTTTCCTACCCCGAATGCCTTCCTCCCTTACGGCGTTGCATGGAGTGATAGTAGATGATAAGGGTTTCGGCGTAGGAATCTGAGTTTCGATGTGATGAGCAGTTAATCCCCTCAGTTGAGAGCAATCAATGCTGCTCATCACGTGGTACAGTGCCACGTGTTGGATTGGCATGTTTTTTGTAGGAATGACACGTGGCAACATGAATTCGTAATTGTCGAGGGACGCTGGACCCGATTTCCAGCAGGTGTTGCTCCCCACCAATAGATGGAGCCTCCCCGAGCATGCTAGCGGTGTCTGTTCTTATTTTTTTTTTATTATTATTATGATTTTTTTTTCATTGTGGTCCGATGGACCACGGATCAGATATTAAACTGATCAGAACACATACTGCTCTTGATCTTAGCCAAAAGGCCGAGAAAGGTATGTGTCTGCTCTTATCAGCACCCATAGCATTTACTCGGGTTGTTTTTCTCAAAAAAAAAAAAGAAAAAAAAAAGGTCAGTAGGTCAACAGCTATTCATGGTTTCGTAAAATGCTCCTGAACTTCTTTTGTTCTTAGCCAAAATTCTCAGATTGTCTTAAAATTCTCCTGAACATTTTTTGTAGTTCTCAGATTGTTCTTAGCCCAAGCCAGGTAATGGCCCTGGTATTCCAAATCCTTTATATCATTTTATATGTGTAGCGGACCTCGGGTTGGCCTGTGAGACCAGCCCCTTGGCCTATTCTCACAGGCCTGTGTTATATTCGGGGTAGGCTAGTCCAGGCCGGTACCTCTGTCGGTACCAGCCAGTCTAGTCCAGTCCCGTCAGTCCGCTGGGGTATACCCCAGCCATTGTCTGTTTTCAGTCTCATTCCTCACTTGCACATTTTGGAGTACGTGCGTTGGAGTCTTGCGTGGGGAGCTGCATTGTGCCATCTTGCTCCCCCTTCTTCCTCCATCTCCATCTCTGTCACTAGCGGAGTACCACACCTGGTGGGTCCGCTACATTGGTATCGGAGCGGGAACGGTCCCCGCCCCCACCCACCACACCGCACAGCAGCGAAATACGGCAAAACCCGATAGTCGGGTTTTCGACTGTTTTTGGGGCATTTTCGGGCAAAAAGCCGCATGCGCGCGCGCGCCACGCGCCTGCCTCGCTGCCCCGCCCCGCCTCGCTCTCGGATTTATATTATCAAGATCCGGGATACAACTGTTGCTGCTGGGGTTTGAACCTAGACACTTGCCGAGCCATGCGCGTGCGTAAGCAACCTCATAACACACTCGCCACAGTGTGTCCATGGCTTTGCAGCACGGCACACTCGTGTTGAAGAGGTGCCGTGCTGGCTATTTACCCCCCCCCCCTGGCAGCGAGCAGTGCGCAACAGCGAAGTTGCTATTTAACCCCCCCCCCACCCCCACCCCCCTGTGGCCGCTGCTGCCTGTGCACGTGGCCATCTCCACGGCCACGTGGCTGAAGACCCCCCTGCTTAGGGGGCTGCTTTACAGTGGAGAGGGCCTGCTCACACAGCAGACCCTACATCTACACATCTGCAGAAGTGCTGCKGGGGGCTGATCAAGATCTCAGCCCCCTCTCTCCTCCAACTGGCTGCTGCAGCAAAGACCAAGACCCTCCTGGTCTTGGTGTACCTTGTGCCCTTGGAGACACCAAGGGCCAGGTATCACTCCCTTCTCCCCTCTCCCTCTACTAACCCACTCTCCCTACCTCTCCTCTCTCCTCTTACTCACCCCTTCTCTTTCCCCCACCTTCCACTGCATCTTTTATCTCCTCCTTTTATCTTCCCGACCCCACCTTTCTCCCAACACCCATTCTTTTACTCTCCTTCTTTTATTTATTTCTTTTCCTCCTCCTTCTTTTCTCTTTGCTTCTTGATCCCTGTCCACCTTTCCCCATCCCTCCTCTCCCCCAACTACCACCACCC